CTTCTACTGCACCACAGTTCAAAAAGATCCGTTCTCCAGTGATCAGCCTTCTTTATGGGTCCAACTATCACATCCATACATGACTACTGGAAAAAACATTGCTTTGACTAGACAGACCTTTGTCACTGAAGTAATGTCTCTGCTTTTTAATATGCTGTCTAGGTTTGTCATAGCTTTTCTTCCAAGGAACAAATGTCTTTTAATTTCATGGCTGCAGTCACCATCTGCAGTGATTTTGGAGCCCAAGAAAATAAAGTCTGTCACCATTTCCATTGTTTCCCCATCTATTGCCATTTAGTGATGAGACTGGATACCATGATCTTAGTTTTTTGAATGTTGAGTTTTAAATCAGCTTTTGTCTCTCTTTTACCTTCTTCAAAAGGCTGTTTAGTTCCTCTTCACTTTCTGCCATAAGGGTGGTGTCATCTGCATATCTGAGGTCATTGATAATTCTACCAGCAATTATGATTCTGGATTGTGCTTTACCCAGCCCAGTATTTTGCTTGCCAGGAGAAATATCAATTATCTCAGATATGCAGATGACACCACCTTTATGGCAGAGAGTGAAGAACTAAAGAGCCTCTTGATGAGAGTGAAAGAGGAGAATGAAAAAGTTGGTTTAAAGGTCAACATTCAGAAAACTAAGATCATGGCATCTGGTCCCATCACTTCATGGCAAATAGATGGGAAAACAGTGGAAATAGTGGCCGACTTTATTTTTCTGGGCTCCAAAAGCACTACAGATGGTGACTGCACCTATAAAATTAAAAGATGCTTGCTCCTTGGAAGGAAAGTTATGATCAACTTAGACAGCATATTAAAAAGCAGAGACATTACTTTGCCAACAAAGGTTCATCTAGTCAAGGTTATGGTTTTTCCAATGGTCATGTATGGATGTGAGAGTTGGACTATAAAGAAATCTGAGTGCTGAAGAATTGATGCTTTTGAACTGTGGTGTTGGAAAAGACTCTTAAGAGTCCCTTGGACTGCAAGGAGATCCAACTAGTCCATCCTAAAGGAGATCAGTTCTGGGTGTTCATTGGAAGGACTGATTTTGAAGCTGAAACTCCAATACTTTGGCCATCTGATGTAAAGAGCTGACTCACTGGAAAAGACCCTGATGCTGGGAAAGATTGAGGGCAGGAGGAGAAGGGGACGACAGAGAACGAGATGGTTGGATGGCATCACTGACTCAATGGACATGTGTTTGGGTGGACTCCCGGAGTTGGTGATGGACAGGGAGGCCTGGCGCGCTGCGGTTCATGGGGTCGCAAAGAGTCGGACACGACTGAGAGACTGAACTGAACTGAACTTTGCATATAAGTTAAATAAACAGGGTGACAATATACAACCTTTACATACTCCTTTCCCAATTTGGAACCAGTCTGTTATTTCATGTCCAGTTCTAACTGTTGCTTATTGACTTGCATACAGGTTTCTCAAGAGGCAGATCAGGTGGTCTGGTATTCCCATCTCTAAGAATTTTCCAGTTTGTTGTGACCCACACAGTCAAAGGCTTTAGTGTAGTCAATGAAGCATAATTAGGTGTTTTTCTGGAATTCTCTTGTTTTTTCTATAATCCAACAGATGTTGGAAATTTTATTTCTAGGTCCTTTGCCTTTTCTAAAACAAGCTTGAACATCTGGAAATTCTCAGTTGAGGTACTGTTGAAGCCTAGCTTGGAGAATTTTGACCATGAAGCTGAAGTTGAATGATTCTATGAAGACCTACAAGGCCTTCTAGAAATAACACCAAAAAATGATGTCTTTTTCATCATAGGGGATTGGAATGCAAAAGTAGGAAGTCAAGAGATACCTGGAGTAACAGACAAGTTTGACCTTGGAGTACAAGATGAAACAGGACAAAGGTTAATGGAGATTTGCCAAGAGAATGCACTGGTCATAGCAAACATTCTCTTCAAAGGACACAAGACACAACTCTACACAGGGACATCACCGGATGGTCAATATTGAAATCAGATTGGTTATATTCTTTGCGGATGTAGATAGAGAAGCTCTATACAGTCAGCAAGACAAGATCAGGAACTGACTGTGGCTCAGATCATGAACTCCTTATTGCAAAATTCAGAGAAAGATAGTAACCTCTACAATTAAACTTCTTCAGGTTGCTAATTCTTCTGCAAGTTGATTAATAAAGAATATATGCTGCCACACTTTCTAAAGTGTGAATTTATGTCCTCAGTCATGGAATAATCATACAGATAGCTCAAGTAACTAGCTTTGTTCTTAAAACAACTGTTGCATCTTAAAGAAACAACAAAAGTGTTGAGTCTAAATCCACCTTAATTCTTCTAAGATAAGTGAGCTGACAATGTGAGATCAAAGGCACTGGTTCCATCAGATGACTCATTAACTGCTCCATCACTTATGAAATGTGACACCTTATGCAAGCTACTTTAAGAACCTTGCTGAGAATCAGTTCCTTTAGCTATACAATGGGACTGATAATAGTATGTACCTAAGTCGGATTACTGCAAAGGCTAAAGGGAAGCATTCTTACTTGTGCCTTGCACAAAATAAGTGTTCATGAAATTTTAATTTTTATTATATTCAAGTTACACAGAAAATATATGACTTAGTAGGCCATTCCATTCCTACAAGTTACCCTTTATTGGTGCCTCTATATCTTAACATTGTATGAACCTATCCCCAAAGAACAAAGGGATTTCCTATGACTCAGCAGGTAAAGAAATCACCAGCAATAAAGGAGACTCTGGAGATATGGGTTCAGTCCCTGGGTTGGGAAGATCTGAAGGTGCAACTGGCAAGCCATTCCAGTATTCTCATATGAAAAATCCCAATGGACAGAGGAGTCTGGCAAGCTAAAGTCCATGGGTTGCAAAGAGTTGGACACAGCTAAGTGACTAAACACAAAAGAACAGGGACAAAGTCTTTCATGAAAAGAATTACAGAAATATCAAAGATAAAATTGCAATAATTAATAAGGAATCAATAGTCAAAAACTACAAATATAGGATATTAACTGATTTAAAAAATATTTTCCAGGCAAAACATTTTTTGACATAAATTGCACCAGTGTTTTTTAGTTCAGTTTCCCAAGGCAATAGAAACAAAACCAAAAATAAACCAATGGGACCTAATGAAACCTAAAAGCTTTTGAGTAGCAAAGGACACCATAAACAAAATGAAAAGATAACCTATGAAATGGTAGAAAATATTTGCAAATTATGTGACTGACAAGGGCTTAATTTCCAAAATATATAAGCAGTCCATGTAATTCAACAACAAAGAAACAAACAACCCAATCAAAAAATGGCAGTATAGATATTTTTTCAAAAAAGACATACAGGTGGCTAATAGGCATATGAAAAGATGCTCAACATCAATAATTATTATAGAAATGTGAATCAAACTGCAATGAGATACCACCTCACACCAGTCAGAACGGCCATTACTAAAAACTCTACAAGTAACAAGAGCTGGAGAGGGTGTGGAGAAAATACAGCCATTTTACACTGTGGGACTATAAGTTGGTGCAGCCACTATGGAAACAAGGATGGAGGTTTCTCAAAAAAAAAAAAAAACCCAAACATACAGTTACCATATGATCCAGCAATCTTACTCCTGGGCATATATCCAGAAAACAACTATAATTCAAAAAGATGCATGCATCCCTATGTTCATAGCAGCACTATTTACAGTATCCAAGGCATGGAAATAACATAAATGTACATAGACAGATGAATGGATAAAGAAAATGTGGTACATATATACAATGGAATATTACTCAGTCATCAAAAAGCATGAAACAATGCCACTTGCATCAACACAGATGGACCTAGAGATTATCATACCAAATGAAGTAAGTCAGAAAGACAAATGCCATATGATATCACTTATATGTGGAATCTAAAATACAATACTAATCAACATATCTATGAAAGATAAACAGACTCAGATACAGAGAACAGACTTCTGGTTATGTCGGGGAGAGGAGGGAAAGAATGTGAGTTTGAGATTAGGAAAGGCAAACTATTATATATAGGGCACATAAACAACAAGGTCCTACTGTATAGTACAGGAAGCTATATTCAATATTCTATGGTAAACTAATGGAAAAGAATGTGGAAAAGATACATATATGCATAACTGAGTCACTCTGCTGTACATAAGAAATTAATGCAGCATTCTAAGTCAACTATACTTCAGTAAAATTAAAAATGTATTTTCCATTTTCATACAAAGACTTTCTACAATCTTTTCACAAATCAGTATCACCAGTGAAATCAAAGTGTCCTAATTCTTTCCTTCCCAACATTTGGAGCCATATAATATGCCCCTTATCTTCATTTTCTCTTTTAGCTTTTTAAGCAGAAACATGTCTAAAATATCCAACTTTATCTTCTAAGAATATTAAATTGAACTGTGCTACTTAAAGAATATTTATTTTGCTATACTCTGGTTACACTTCCAATTTTTTTTTTTGAAAAAAAAAAAGAGGGAAAAGGCAAATGTTTTAGACTTTCAAAAAAGGACTTTTTGTCAGGTTTGGAAGAAGAAGAACATGGTGAAAGAACACATTATCTTTGGGAAAACAGCAGGAGGCAAACCAGATCATCACTCATCACTAACAGAAGCTAAATAACACAGAAAGGTACTAAGACATGCTGATTTAGCCAGGGAAAAATGAAGCAGAACCAACACATTATAATGAGGATGATCTTGGTACCAAAAAAGCCCCTTTAACGGTGGGCATACATTTGAATCCTAGTGTGACCATTTTAGCTTCTTTTTGCTTGTTCATACTCCCAGGATAAAGGCCTTAAAAAAAGCACTGGTATTTTAAATTGCTCTGTCTCACTTGCTGAATTTTGTCTGTTTGTTTGTTTCTTTCTTAGGCAAAATTATTTTCCCATGTGACAAGAAGGATGCTTTGGAGAGCTGCACTGTGAAAGTGCAGAGAACAAAAGTGACAGCAGTCCTGGAGGATTAGAGCAATGACAAGGGAAGAGAACTTACCTGTGGGCACGTGCTCCAAGGTCCCCACTCAGACATGACACATTCGTTGGGACACAGAAGAGAGCAGGACTGGGTTTCTGGGGGAATCTCATCCTGGTTGCACAGGCTGTTATCCACAGCTCCCCCTTCACCATCAGCAGCATTCATGCACCTATAATGCAAGATCATAAGATAGCTTAAACACTTAAAACAGTGAGGAGTAAATTTAAAATAGTTATGATATATCCTAATTACTTACCCCTCAAAGATAATTAAACATAAAATAAGATTGATAGAGAAACCAGGGAAAAAAAAAAAACAAAAAGAAAACCCATTCAGTCAGCCAGGATTTGAGTAAGTGAAAGTCGCTCAGTCGGGTCCAACTCTTTGCAATCCCATGGATTACACAATCCATGGAATTCTCCAGGCCAGAATACTGGAGTGGGTAGCTTTTCCCTTCTCCAGGGGATCTTCCCAACCCAGGGATAGAACCCAGGTCTCCCGCATTGTAGGCGGATTCTTTACCAGCGGAGCCACACAAGGGAAGCCCAGCCAGGCTTTATTGAGTAGTAACTTAGGGCAGAGCCATTCATTCAGCAGAGCAGGAAAAGACTAGGGACAATACTCATCTTTGAAGAACTCTCCATCTAAAGAGATCTACAATATATTTACTTAGGTCTTTTCAGTGTAACAAATCTTGAACACTCTCCTCTGAATAAATCCATCACTTTGTAATAACTAGACCTTGCATCGTTCCTATGACTCTCTCAGACGTTTCCTGGACTTCTAGCTCAGAGCATCTAAGGTTCCCTAGTTTTTGTTCAATATATTTAAGGTCATGGCAAAGTACTGAAAAAACAATTGAACATATTTTTCTTTTAGGTATTTTCTGCATTTCAGTAAGGAATTTTCATATAATAAACCAAAGGGCAACATACAAGCATTTTCATGCAGCAGTTGAGCATATGCTACTGATGCACGTATTATTGTTGCTTTAAGATAAATGCTGATGAGGATGGGATAAATAATCATGCTGCTGATTTAATCAAATTAAAACCAAACTGTTATACTGCTATATACCTGCCAGAATGGCTTATATCAAAAACATGGAAAATAGCAAGGATTGGCAAGAATATGGAGCAACTGTAACTCTTCTCACTCTGCTGGTGGGAGCATAAACTCTTTGGCAAACTAATTGGTAGTATGTCTATTAAACCTAAACATATAAACACAATGTAACCCAACAGTTCCACTTCTATTTATATACAGAAGACAAATGTGGATCCCACTCCACCACAAAAAACAAACAAACAAACAAAAAAACCTGCCTGGAAATGTTTATGGCATTATTATTTATAATTAGCCAAAGTGAATTAGTAGTAGTATATCTACAATAGCTATTCAGCCACAGTAAAACAGACAAATATATTGTGATAAACTCATTAAGTGCTATTAAGTAATAAGAATTCATTAACTATTGTTGCATGAAAGCGCATGAGTGGAGCTCACAACCATAATGTTGAACGAAAGAGGCTGGACGCAAAAAGAGTACAGACTTCACAGTTCCCTTCATAGACACTTAATAGGCAATCCTCATCTATGGTGTCAGAAGCCAGAATAGCACTTACCCTTGTGGGAATGGTTATCGACTGATAGGGGCTTACGTAGTCCTGGTAAAACTTTGTGTCTTGACCTCTGGGTTGGTTACACAGATGAGTTCATATTGTGAAAATTCATGGAGCTGTACCCTATGCTGTGGGCAATTCTCTCCATTTATATTATATCCCAACTCAAAGTTAATGTTTAAATTATTTTCTCAAAACTATTTAATAAAGACTTGCTGTATATAAGCCTCTTTTGTTTGGTGTTGGAATACAAAGTGATTTGTTAATAATGATTCATTTATTAAATATTTTGAGGGGCTTACTTTGTGCCATGCCCTTACTTGGGTGCTTGGGTACAGAACTGAAAAAAAAAAAGGACACGATTCCTTCTTCCAATGATAATGATCAAAGAAAAGGTGAAGATGACTATGATGATAAGATAAATGGCACCATTTGCTGATCTGCTCCTTTCAGATACAAAGCCACAGCCAAGGAATAAGCAACTTAAGAGGGCTGTGCTGGAGAGCTTTCGCTGGAAAAGCTTTTAGCTTTTCCAAATCATGCTATGCTGGAATGAATTATCCTATGCATTAGGAGTTTCTTTTATATAATTTTTTTTTATTAAGGAAAACTGCACCGTAGTCTATGACCTGGTACAAAATAAACTTTATAAGGTGCTAAGTAATAAAAAAAAAATAGATACTGTATAAAGCAGGTTAACAGAAAATGGTAAACAGAGAGGAGATGTAAGTCATGTCTTCTAATGTAGGGAGGCAAGGTACAGAGTCATCTATAGACTTTAATTTCTCCTGTGGTAATAGTCAATACTGGAAGGAGGAACCACTAAATGGCTTTAATGCCTTTCCCTGGGCAAACTTAAAAGCTGAAAATTGCTTTCCTTCTTGCCTGCACACTCTTCGGCTGGTATTCCTTTATGATTTTGCTGAAAAAAGAAGAGGTAATACTTCTGGTCAATGGTGTCCAGTTGGACATATGCATTAGTCTTTCTCTGCTCCCCATATGCCACAAAAACAATAGCAGAGGAATTTATTACAAAAAAAAAAATACAGAAGAGAGGGAAAGGCATTATCTTGCAAGGACAAAAACCACGGGAAAGGACAAAGGCAACGATGGGAAATAGATGGGCTGGTGGTGTCTTAGCACACAAAGAAAACAGATCACTAAACCTTCAAAAGAAAACAAAGAAAGTCATTCCACTGACACATCAGAATGCATAAAAAATTCAGGAATCTGTGGCAGCAAGTACCTTTGGAAATGTGAAGGTGAGGCAGAAAAACTGGAGGATTTATTGTAAGCATGCTTCTGTTTAAGAAGTACCTAAGCTCTGAGATGCCCTTTCCCAATACACAGAGCTAGGCGATGCCCCCAGCCTGGTCCCTGCTGTTAACTGAAGGTTTACTATCTGTATAGGGTCACAAAACAGGTTAGAGAACACACGGCCCAACTAAGGATGGGAACATCATACTGATAACAAGGTTTATGGAAAGTTAACATAGTGAACAAAATGATCACTACCTTCATGACTTAAGCAATGCACATTTATTATTTTACAATTTTGTAGATCCAACATGGAACTCACTAGACTATCATCAGCACTCTGGCAAAGCTACATACCTTCCTGGAGGCTCTAGGGCAGAATCGTTTCCTAACCTCTTTCACAGTCTAGAAGCCACTCACGTTCCTTGGGGCCATGGCCCCTTTCTCTCTACTCAAAGCCTTGTGTCTCTCTGTGTCTTGCTTTTTTCCTTTCCCATCCCCTCATCCATTTTTAAGGACACTTGTGAATAAGTTGTTCCCATCCAGAAGATCCAGGACAATCTTCCCTAATCGCATCTGCAAAGACGCTTTTCCTATTTAACGTAACATATTGACAAACCTCAAGGGTTAGAATGTGAATATTTTTGGGAGCTATCATTCTGTTTACCACATTAACCTTCGTTCATTGCGTTCCCAAAATACAGGTTTTTAGGATTATCTATTTAACATGTGATTTAAGAAGACAGTCTTCCAGTGATTCTGACAAGCACAAAAATAAAGACTTACACAGACTGAAACTGAAGGTGTTCTCAAATGAAAATGCCCCTGCAGTTACATATCCTGCATCAAAGTCTTTGCCATATCTCCCTCTTTGGTCATCACTTTCATTTCTACTCAGAGTCATTACAAAACCGCTTTAAAGCATGGCTATATTCACTATCCCCACATGCCCCTCCTCCCTTATTACCTCTTGGACTTACTTTAATCACACTTTTATCATCATTCCAGACAAAACTGATATCATCAACAGACTCCCCTTTGCCGAACGCAATAGTCAATTCTTATTTATTAAACTTCTCAGAATCTTTGAAACCACTGATTATATTTTCTTTTTTGAAAATCTCTCCTCTTGCCATTTTTGGGTTGAGGGTTAGGGTTCCAAATACAGCCACATTCTCAGGTATTGCAGGTTAGTACTTCAATACATAGATTATTTTTTGTGGGGGGAGGCAGAGTTCAACCCATAACACATGATATTTGGTAGCTGTCCTATTTTTATTATACCAGGCTTCATCCATTTGAGCAGAGAGGTATGGCTTAAAGGCCCTCTTGTTCAAGTGTGTTTTTCCTCAATCAACCTGCCACAATTCTGCCGGTAGCAATTTATTCTCTTAAAGCTTTCCTCTCTCTCCTGGGACTTTGCTTTAATACTGCTAAGAGGCCAGGCTGGGATGAGAGTGAGGGATGCCACAGCTCATTTACACGTATTACCTGATAAGCTAGGCTAGTCAGTCATTTCTCAAAGCTGTGAGAAAATAGGACACAAGAGACAGATTTTGAAGAAAAAGAGGTAGAAGCCCAAGTTGTGACAGCCTGAGCAACTAGTTCCCAGGGGAAAAGGCAGTGAACCATGGGAAAGAAAGACAATACGTTTATGAACCCTTTGCCTGGGTTGGTGATGAGGAGCACCTCTGCAATTTTGCCAGTGGCTATTTCTTTCAACTGTCTACCAGTGACTTTGTGACAATGGGACCAAGTCTCAGAAATGGTGGATATATACTGAATCACTGAATAAACTAAGTTCACTGGTGTTGAGTAAAACCAACACAAAGAAGTTGGGTGTGCCCTGGCAACTGACTTCAATTTCAAAGATAACTCATTAGGGAGTTACCCAATTCAGGCATGGTGTGTCAATTTGAAATGAAGCTTCCCAAATATAGCCAGTCCATCCTAAAGGAGATCAGTCCTGGGTGTTCATTGGACGGACTGATGCTGAAGCTGAAACTCCAATACTTTGGCCACCTCATGCGAAGAGTTGACTCATTGGAAAAGACCTTGATGCTGGGAGGGATTGGGGGCAGGAGGAGAAGGGGACGACAGAGGATGAGATGGCTGGATGGCATCACTGACTTGATGCGCATGGGTTTGAGCAAACTCCGGGAGTTGTTGAGGGACAGGGAGGCCTGGCGTGCTACGATGCATGGGGTCGCAAAGAGTTGGACACGACTGAGCGACTGAACTGAAATATAGCAAAATGACATACTACACTCATGCAACTGAAAAGATGACTATACTATTCTTGATTTCTTCTTGAGCTTACATACTAAATCATTGTTTATGATTAATATTTTGGCTCATGCTTCTTCTCTAACATTCATTGTTATTTTCCCCAGTTGATAATAAAATTATCATCCTTTCTTCCCAAATAATTTCTAAATAGATCTTTTTTTTTTCCTTTTGACTGCACCAACCAGTTTGTGGGATCTTAGTCCCCTGATCAAGGATTAAGACTGTGCTCTTGGCAGTGAAAGTGCTGAGTCCTAACCACTGGACCACTGGTTCAGTCAGTTCAGTCACTCAGTAATGGCTGACTCTTTGTGACCCCATGAACAGCAGCATGCCAGGTTTCCCTGTTCATCACCAACTCCTGGAGCTTGCTCAAACTCATGTCCATCAAGTCGCTGATGCCATCCAACCATCTCATCCTCTGTTGAGCCCTTCTCCTCCTGCCTTTAATGTTTCCCAGCATCAGGGACTTTTCCAATGAGTTGGCACTTCACATCAGGTGGCCAAAATTTGGAGTTTAATATTCAGGACTGATTTCCTTTAGGAATTACTGGTTTGATATCCTTGCTGTCCAAGGGATTCTCAAGAGTCTTCTCTAACACCACAGTTCAAAAGCATCAATTCTTCTGTGTTCAGCTTTCTTTATAATCCAACTCTCACATTCATACATGACTACTACAAAAACCATAGCTTTAACTAGATGGACCTTTGTTGACAAAGTAATGTCTCTGCTTTTTAATATGCTGTAGGTTGGTCATAGGTTATTCTCATATTACTTTCTGAAGTCTAATTGTGGAGGTTTAAGTTGACTTTTTCAATGTATTGACACCCAAAATTAAGATAATGTCCATCAGCTATACTAACCATAGAGCAAAAGAGTGACCCGGCATCATAGTACAAATCATCTAATTTGTCAGCAGTGACAGCCATACATCACTGGAGGGATGCGATGGTTTTCCAAGAAGTTGGTTTTTCCACTGAAGTCACTTGCAGGAAATGTTCAGAACTGTGGCTGCCATGCAGATAGAATCCCACAATATACATGGAAGCTCAAGGGTTTATGCATTTGGGAATACTTAGAGATGAGCAGGGACTTCCCTGATGGTCCAGTGGCTAGGACTTCATGCTCCCAATGCAGGGGGCCTGGGTTCAATCCTTGGTCAGGGAAATAGATCCCTCATGCTACAGCAAAGACTTGGTACAGATAAATAAGTATATATTTTTTTTTTAAGATGGGCAAAAGCCAGAGGATATGGTTTGAGAGTGTACTTGGATCAGCAATACTGTTGTTTTCATAAAAATATGTAAATTCCACTGTCACATTTCCCAAATGTCTCCATGGCCACACACCTGATTTTCCTAGATTGCGTTCCTCCTCCACAGCGCAGGGACCTCAGCTCATTGTGGATTTTGCATGGAGACCAGTGCTCTACAACCCAGGAATACTGATTGCACTCACTGTAACATGGGACTGCCTCATGCACCTGTCAAGAACAGGAAAGGAGAAGAAAATTATGTGCAACTATCCAAGTCATGGAAAAACAGCCTGTCTTTTAGTAAAGTCTGCTGAACATAATCCAGGAGCTATAGTCTGGCTCTAAGAGCCAAACTGCATTCCCCAAAAGCAAGATACATTTGGCTTCTCTGAAATTACTAATGTATCTAAAAAAACATATGGGGACCATCAACTAGAATATGATGGTGTGCCTTTGCAGAAGAGAAAAAAGGACAGTCATTATCTCCCACCAAGAATAGGAATTCCATTATCTTTTTATCCCCCCAAAGATCTCACACAGCATCTATTAGATGTCCAACTCTCAGTTACATGGTATACTATACTCTCAGACGTACTTTACGAGGTCAATTGAAATAAATATATGTAAGGAAAATTTACTCTTGAATATAAGAGGTTCTCAGAATACATAAGGAAAATGGTATTATTTGTATTAGAAATTTCTTTTTCTATACCCAAATGATCAATGCTAACAGGCAATCATTCAGCCTTCTGGGAATTGTGGCTTTATATGAATTTAGCTATTTGTAGGATGTTTTCAGAGCATAGCTAAAACACACAGACACACACATTCACAAGACAAACACACATACATGATAAACTCTGTGCATGATGACTGACTGTGAATACATACAGATTATATAGTAAAAACAACAAATGCAGTAAATGAATTGTTAGGTTACTTCCTACGCATTTATTTGTGATGAGTTTTTCCTGAAATATTATAACATTGTGTAGGCAATTGCATTTGCCTTTTTAAGAATGAATTTTAAATGCATTACTCCTCAACAGAGAACACTGCATTCAGAAAAAGTTGTTCTGTCTTATGATACTAATATGTTGGGGATTTCCCAGTGCTCAGCAGTAAAGAATCAACCTGCAATGTAGGAGAGGCAGGTTCAATCCCTGGATCAGGAAGATCCCCTGGAGGAGGAAATGACAACTCACTCTGGTATTCTTGCCTGGGAAATCTGGTAGACAGAGGAGCCTGGTGGGTTACAGCCCATGGCATCGCACAAGAGTCGGACACGACTCAGAAATGTGGTATTTTACTCTCGATCACAAAGGTGGCTCCAGTGTAGCATGATGATGAGTAGTGATTCTAACTATTACTAAAATAGTTATTTAATGCTTTCCCTTTTAAATAAGAACTTGAGCCTCACGTCTTTCCTCTCCTGGCCTTTCCAGTTCCATAAAATTGTAAATGATGACTAGGCAGGCAGTGCTATCCAAACAGAACCAATCCTTGCAAGTTTCCTCTAAATGTAAGGGAAAGCACTATGTAATGGGATAATCAGAAACCAAGATTGGAGCACTGTCAGCATGTGAGATGGAAATCAGATGAGAAAAGGTTATTTACGAGACTACATCTCAGGAATCACAAATAATGTCAGAAACTATTTTTAACTGTGGGGTTCGCTTTGGCTCTCTCATGTTGAGCATATGATGATAAGGAAAACTGCAAAGTGAAAAATATGTGAGGGCGAAATGAAAGGAGATGGGAAAATAGGAGTGGAAATGAGTGAGAGGAAAGGAAGGAATTAAGTAATAGAAGAATCACATTTCATGCTGTAAATGCTGACAAGAACAGAATGAAAGGGTTAGAAGCAGTGCCTGCATTAGAATAAGGTGGTGACAACTTGTAAGGGAGAAAAGTCTGCCTCCCCCCAAACTCATAGGGTAGTTGAGGTAAGAGAAAAATCTACAAAAATGAAAAGTCATGACCCAAATCCAAGAGACACTAGGAAACTAAGCTGATGATGGCTGAGGGTTTTTAGCAGATCCAACTTCACCATGGAAATTAAGCTTTCACTGAATTTGCAAGTTTGTTCTATAAACTCTTCAATTTGTATCAGATAATTTAAAGAAAGCTTTTTGGCTTTCCTATGAGATAGAAGGGGGCTTCCCAGGTGGCGCAGCAGTAAAGAATCTGCCTGCCAATGCAGGAGCCATAGGAGACGCAAGTTCAATCCCTGGGTCGGGAGGATCTCTTGGAGAAGGAACTGGCAACCTACTCCAATATTCTTGCTGGGATAGTCCCATGAATGGAGGAGCTTGGCAGACTACAGTGCGTGGGGTCACAAAGAGTCAGACACAACAGAGCCACTGAGCACACACGCATGAGACAGAAGAAAGCCTGTTAGAGCACTTTGCACAAACGGGGGAGGTGAAGAACTTAATTAAAAAAGTAATTTTGCCACAGCTCATGCATGGATCTGAGAACAAATGGATGGGATATTCTCTGCAAGAGGGATCTATTTTTCTAAAGCTCTCAGTAGCCAAGTGCAGTTTACACTTTCACCCTCCCTCCCATATAAAGCCCCAAGGTCAGATGGAAAGTGAAAAACTGTTTAGTTGCATGTATCCTTGATATACACATTTGAACTCCTGGTCTTGTACTAGTTTACTGGTTTTATTCTTTATGCTTCAGTAATCGTCATGTAGTGAAGTCGCTAACTTCGCTGACAAGCTATGAGAAGAGAGGGAGCAGGTCTGTGTAGGGAGATGTTGACCCACCTTCTTAAATAATGGTGCGAAAAATAGGACTTCTTGAAGAAGATTCTCCATCACATGAATTTGCCTGATATTTTTCCCCTGTATGCATCTGCCGTTTTAATATTTCTTTTACAGTCATTTCTGGCTGATCCACCTCTACCTTCCTTCAAAGTTCAAGTCAATCCCACCACTTCCACAAGACCTTTCCCAGGACTCCAGCTGGCATGTCTTTGGCACTCAGCTGTTTGTTCAGTCACGTCCGACTCTTTGAGACCCCATGGCACCATGCCAGGCTCCTCTCTTCATGGAATTTTCTAGGCAAGAATACTGGTGTGGATTGTGGTTTCCTACTCCAGGGGGTCCTCCTGACCCAGGGAATGAACCCACATCTCCTGAGTCTTCTGCACTGGCAGGTGGATAACTTTGCCACTGGGTCACCTAGGAAGCCCTTGGTATTCAGTGAGAGTTTCAGTTTTAAGTAGACTTATAGCCAGATTATAATGTCAGGGTGCCATGTGCAGGGCTGGGATGGTGGTGGCAATTAGGGCCACACTGTACAGAGCTGTGGGGTCAAACTCATTCAGTAAAGTCATCATCTCTGTTGTTGTTCAGTCACACAGTTGTGTATGACTCTGCAACTCCCATGGACTGCGGCACGCCAGGCCTCCTTGTCCCTGACTATCTCCTAAAGTTTGCCCAAGTTCATACGCATTGCATCAGTGATGCCATCCAACCACCTTATCCTCTGATGCCTCTTCTCCTGCCTTCAATCTTTCCCAGCATTAGGGACTTTTCCAACAAGTCGGCTGTTCACATCAGATGACCAAAATGCTGACTCCTCTTTATATTTCTCTTATTTTCTCACTTATTGGAGCTCTTTTTTCTCACTAGTCTTAATGTCTACTTTGTTCTGTAAATCATACTGAAAGATCATGCCAAGAGAAACACAATTTGAAACTCCACTCATAAATATGCTTCTGGTTTTAACCAGTCAGACCTAGACTATCAGCGTGTGTTTACATGAGTACCTGAACAAAACCTGTAAATCTTAGGAAGGCAGGGACTTTGTTTCTATGATGTTTATATTATAGAGGAGGGGGTGATATCCAATCAGTTTTTGTTGAATTGAAACTAATTTTTGAAGGGGCACTGAGTGCTAAATGACCCTCACTTAATTTTCTAGAGAAAACAAACTCATGAATGGAACATGTAAGTATTTTACAAAGCTCAAAGGATATTAAGAGGAAACAAAAATGAAATCCTTTTCTTTCCATTATAGGGCTTTGGTGAAGGATAGCCATCACCATGTTATCAAAAGGTGCTGCCTGATGATTTAGCTACAGGAAAGAAAGGCTGTCTTTAACGAATTGTGAGTTGTTTCTTTAGAGACTTTGCTTATCAGGCACGAATTCTTACCTAGAGGATCAACACCCACAGAGGCAAAAAGGCAGCAGGCATTCAAGAATAAAAATGTACTATCCGGATGCCCAATTTCTTCTCACGTCAGTCCTTTATGTTCTGGCTATTTCATATTGCTATTTAGTTGGTCCTTATTATAGTTTCATAATGGAAATGTGTTAAAGCATGAACTTTATCAGGGAATCATATGGAAATGTTCCAAAGGAGAGAAATGAGCCATGGGAAAGTTAAATGAAAATCATTTCTAAATGGTGCAAATTAGGAAGAAAATAACAGGGCTTAATAGGTCCACCAATACTAAGAAATGCCACTGAAAAATCTAAAACCTCTGAGAGAAGTAACATGTCATTCTCCTGCTAATGAGTCCTATGTGTTATTTCTTTATTGGGGAATGCTGTTTTTTATAATTTTGCATATCCAGAATCACATCTTAAACTCATTCATTGAGTCAGTCATTTTAATATTTATTAAGTAAACCTCTGCTTACTGTAACTGATCAATTTCATTAGTACTGTTCTCTGATACAGCTCTCCAACTATAGACTGACTGGTAAAAACTTGCAGGCAGCGTCTCATTGGGGTTCAGCAGGTATCATTATTATATATCAGAGTCTTAGGGTTCAAGGGCTCAAACAAAGCAAATAATCCAACAATAACCACACACACACACACACACACACACACACACACACACAAAACAAAGAAAGGAAAATTCACAGCCTCTAGTTTTCTGTAGCAATAATGTTTTTGCTCCAGTAAAGCTGCCAGTCAAGACCCCATAGAGATCATGCTTCAGACTCCATGCTAGGTACTGTGGCTACTTAGTAGAACCTGAAAATCAGTTCACAGGCCCAACTGAGACTAGAAATTCCTGCCAGTCAGAATCAAGGTCTGTCCCATTGAAATGTGAGAGGAAATGGCCTCCAGGAGTGTTAAGATCAGTAAAGCACTATAGGTTTCCTTCTCCTCAAAAATGGGAGTTCTAGTTGTTTTTGTTTAGTAGCTAAGTTGTGTCTCACCCTTTTGTGACCCCATGGACTGTAGCCTGCCAGGCTTG